TGCGTGTGTGTGCGTGTGTGAAGGTGTGCCTGTGTGTGCGTGTGCGTGTGCGCGCGCGTGTGTGTGTGTGTGTGTTTGCGTGTGTGTGTGTGTGTAGGTGTGTGTGTGTGTGCCTGTGTGTGCGTGGGTGTGTGTGTGTGTGTGCGTGGGTGTGTGTGTGTGCGTGTGTGTGCGTGTGTGTGTGACAGTGGGTGTGTGTGGGCCCCACAGGCCCGGCATCCCAAGGCGTGGCCTCTGACGGTCCCGCCAGTCCTCTGTAAGAGGCTCCAGAAGGGCATCCCAAGGCGCGCGTGGGGTCCCGCCAGTCCTCTAAGAGGCTCCACAAAGGCCCAAGGCGCGCGTGGGGTCCCGCCAGTCCTCTAAGAGGCTCCAGAAGGCCAAGGCGCGCGTGGGGTCCCGCCAGTCCTCTAAGAAGCTCCACAAGGGCATCCCAAGCCTCGCGTGGGGTCCCGTGAGTCCTCTAAGAGGTTTCAGTCGGGCATCCCAAGGCGCGTGTGGGGTCCCGCCAGTCCTCCAAGAGGCTCCAGAGGGGCATCCCAAGGCGCGCGTGGGGTCCCGCCAGTCCTCTAAGAGGCTCAAGAAGAGGGCATCCCAAGGCGCGCGTGGGGTCCCGCCAGTCCTCTAAGAGTGAGTGAGGGTGATGATGTGATGAGTGAGTGTGTGTGTGTGTGTCAGTGTGAGAGTGTGTGTGTGTGTGTTTGTGCGTGAGTGTGAGTGAGTGAGGGTGATGATGTGATGATGTGATGAGTGAGTGAGTGTGTGTGTGTCAGTGTGAGTGAGTTAGGTGAGTGAGTGAGTGAGTGAGTGTGAGTGTGAGTGTGAGTGAGTGAGGGTGATGATGTGATGAGTGAGTGTGTGTGTGTGTGGAGAAGGAAGGAGGAGCAGGAGTAGGGAGGAGGGAGGAGCAGGAGGAGGGAGGAGGGAGGAGGGAGAGAAGAAGAAGAAGAGGAAGGAGAAGGCGCGGACGCATGCCAGAAAAAGTAAGAACCCCACAGTAAGATGTGGGGAACAAGCATGCAGCTCATGAGCTTGAAGGCTGTGTCCTTTCGGGCTGCTTCATGTTAGAGGTCTTCTACTTCTCACCTTCGAACTCTTGCCCTATCAAATAGACATTCTGAGGCAAGAACTCTCGCTAACCAAGCATTTGCCCGCTTTCCACTGTTTTCGACCGTGCTGTGTTCGTCATGCTGGCATGGTGACTGTTGCGTTGCTCTAGCAACAGCGGCAGCTACTCTGCTCCCCAAGCAATAGCAGTCTCTTCTTGCCACGAGAAGCCTCAGCACTGCTGGAAACACGGCTCCGGTTGGGGAAGAAGTAGTCCAGATCTGTCCCATGGGCCTCTGTGCAATTACCACAACATATCTCCGGTTGCTGCTTATCATCTGCCGAGCTGCTCTGACATTCCTATCCCTGTGGGCAAACTCTCAGCAGGAAGGCGAGGTTGGCAGGGGACATCTGCTTACAGAGTTGAGGAAAGAGGCAGGCTAATTGCACAAGCAGCACTTTCTGATGTGATTCTTTCAATCGGCGCATGCTACGGAAACGCATGGAAGACGGAAGATTCGCAATTGCGACTTGTGCACCAATTGACTTCGGCGTGGTACAAGTTGGCACAGCTGCTATCATGTGCAGGACAGATCCGGTGCCTAGTAACTATACGCCTGGCAATCCTGAGATGTCCCCTTGCAGCCTTGGGACCCTTTGAGGGGAAGAGGCAATTTAGGGCAGTCCGAGTCTCAGCTCCCGGGCACGGCCAGCAGCTCTTTGCCTCTACCCTGCAGGAAGCATCTTGGGACGGCGATCTTGCGAATCTGTGATGTGGCTTAGCCCTCACTGACGTGCGCGCGCAAGCTCAACAGCATGAGGAATCATGGATGGCCTGGTAGATGCTCTCCACGTGCAACTTGCGATGCTTGGCCCCACAGCAGCCGCTCCAAGTGACAGGGGATACGGTGTGCCCCAAAACCCGAAACCGCACACCCAAGCGCCCAAGAGTGCCTCTGCCGGTGTGAAGTTGGTTGGTTATGCCGGGTTTCCATGGCTGGGATGCCTGGCAGTGGACATGTTTTTTTGCTGAGACTTCTCATCAAGGCCTTGTTGCCTCCCTCTTCAGGACTTACGGCCGATGTAGGTTTGCCTCAGCTTCAAGAGTCCACCGAACTCCATCGTGAAATTTGTAGGAGTCCTTAGGAACACATCACCCGCAGGCAGACGCCAACCTGGCATCTGCACGATATGGTATGATATGATGTCATGTGTCACATGTTATATTTCTTTTTTGTGTTTTGAGCTGTATGGTTACATCAAACCATGATATATTGTAGTATGTTGCATCATAATATAGTAACTATGTATATGTTTTGTGTGTACATGTATATATATATATGTATTTTTTTGAAATACAATATAATATAGTCAGCATAGCATAACAGATGATTCATATGATATTCTTCTCACTTCGAAGTAGGAAAGCTGGAACCCCCCCGACGGGCCTGCTCGGGGGTTGTTGGCAGATCCGACACCCCATAAATACCAGTAGGCCTGGCGTGCGTGGGGGTGGCCTTCAGGGTTGAGGCTAACTGAACTTGGATCTCTCCTGCGGTCTGCCTAAGGGGAATCGTGCTGAGAAGGTCGTATGAATTTTAATCAGCAATTATAAAAGGTTTGCTGTGGCTTTTTGCGTTGCCAGAAGTTGATGCAAGCTTTTATGCTTGTGGCAAGGCTCATCCGCACCGGCATTGGCGGAGCCGAGCACTGCTGCAATGTTACAATGTTGTTAGTCAGAAATACTGCAGAAAAAGTGGCTCCAATCTTGATCTCTGAAACCTGAAAACGAATGCGCACAACATCGCACATAGCAAGGGTGTAAGCAGGGGCTCGAGCTGTTGAGAAGTAGCAGAAGGATCATTTTAGGAGTCGAGTCCTCCACTGTTAAGCATGGCCTTGGGCTTGGGCTAGCACATCTAGAGGCTGGCCTTTGCACCAGTGGCTTCGTGCCAGGCACGCGCCGAGCGGCGCGCCACGCAAGTCATGGCTCTGTCGGCACGGACCTTAACAAATCACATCTGGGGACAGAACTCAAATACCCAAGCAGGCTCTGGGTCCGGAATGCTTGCAATGCCAAGCAACGCGTCGTGCTGCCCAGTAGGCCGGAGACCATCCTTCGTGGGAGAACTTGTTGGCCTGCGAGCGACAGAGCATTCGCGTTCTGTCGCAAACAGACCTTGACAACAGGCAAACATCGCTGTGGCTCTACATAGATGCCAGGGGACTTTCCTTGCAGCCCTGGGCCGACATGCCAAAACGCGCCGAGATTTGTCATTCCGGCCTTCTCGTAGAGGTTCTGCTCTGACAGACTCTCCTGCTACTATATACGCCAGCTTTCAACTCACACCGGCGACTTATCTGCATGCGCCCAGCATAGGTTGAACGAAGCATCGCTTGCTGCAAGATGATGGCGCAGGATGCTGAAAAATCTCGAGAGCTCGGGAACCGGACCTTGTAGATCTTGGCAACAAGGGGAACCTGCCACTTGGGCAGAACAGACTTCAACCAGATCCTCAGTTTCAGCCATCAAGGGCTTCAATCTACAACACTGCTGTTTTTAGCAACTAACACGACGAGGTGCGGAACACAAGCATACACAATGTTGCAGCCGCAAAAATGTTTGTCGACCGAATTGACGCTGTAGAATGTCTGACACACCCTGCTGGAGGTGTCATGCGGCAACTGCGTATACTATTTCTATCATTCGTATTTTTGGGAATGTTCCTCATTGTTGTTTCCGTCATAGAACCTGTTGCTACGACTGTGACTTGTGACAGTTGTTACCGCTAACACAGTCGGCCGAGCGGCTCGAAGTCCTCAGTCTTGGCATCGGCCCCGATGTCAACAAAGGAATCCTCGATGGCAGTGCCTATGATGATTGGCACATCCTTGTGCACCTTCTTTTTCTTCAGCGCATCCATGGGCGAGTAGGGCAGGGTCACCTCAGGCACGCGCCGGTTGGGCTAAAATGAGTCCCAAGGTCGTTACACTACTCATACGACTCATAAGGCATTAGGGCTAGATGCTCTGCTCTCAACCCCTCCAGGGTTCAGTTACGATCATGCCCTCTAGATTTCAGACTATATGCCAGGTGATCTTCAACCCTGGTGTAGGCCACAAGCCCTCGTAACAAATAGCGACAGTCCCTTAGCCGACCTTGGCTAAGCTCCTGCCGTCGGCGGAGTTGCACTTTTGAAGCGGATCGACTCTCTTGTTTTGCTTGATCTTCGAAGGGCTGCCGCAGGTATGTCTTGACTGCACAACTGATCAAAAAACTGCATCACCCCCCTCAGCCATTCGAAGGGAGGATCTGTCTAAAAGTCGCGGTGTTCTACCGCTTCTCAGGCCCAAGCCCTTCACAGATTGGGCTCTACCCATAGCTCCGTGGCTATGTTCAAACATCTAGTGCATGGGTGCAGGTCTCGCCTCTGATACCCGCGAATATACGGGCAGTCTCCGTCAAAGTGCACCCTCTCACCAAATCTTGTGACATACATGTCCTGAAGCTTCCGGTTGGGGATGCATGCGCTGAGCTCCGGCGCTGTCGTCTGGGTGGCGGCATCTTGCATGGCTTTCTTAGGCTTGGTGCCCCAACACAACCAGAAAGCCGTGGCAATCATCACGACCAAGGTTGCCAGCACCATTGTCATATAGCTGCCCCCCTGCGCTGCCACCACCCCTCGACTGCTTGTGGTCACCAGCTCGGTCGCCTGCCCAACTGGCATCTGAGCCACCATGATGGCAGCTGCTAGCTTCCTGGCGCTGGCCGCGCCCGTGCTCCTCTTGATGCTGTTGAACATTTCCTTCGCGACCTCCGCCCTCATGCTGGCCTGCCCAGGCGTGTTGTCGATCACGCCCAGCATGGTCCTGAGCATAATGAACCGCTCCGTCCCCATGGCCTTCGTGTGGATATCCGCCGCGTTGTTCTGTGTGTCCACGGCGTGGAGCTGGAACTTTCGCTCCTTGAGGCCCGTTTGCACCCACATGGACTTTGTCTCGAGATGGCGTATACGGCCTACGCCTTCGCGCTGAAAGACCCCCCTTGCTGCACTGCTGTCCAAATAAATTTTAAGGACCACCGGGATGCGGAAGAAGTCGAGGACCTCCTTGTAAAAAATGCCCTCAGAGGTGGCGATAACGCCTCCATTGAACTCTGCTTCCCCGCTGCTCAAACATATCATTGAGAGCCCCCGGCTGTAGGACCCAATGAGGCAACCGCCCCACATGAACACCCCTCCGGCACAGCTCTTGCGGGTCTTCTTGCAGCTCGCCCAGTCGGTGTCCGATGCCACCTGCAGCACGTCTGTGTCACCACCCGCCGGCAGCCAAACGCCATAGCCCTCAGTGCCTTTGAGGTAGCGGGCTAGTCGCCGCAGTGAGTTCATTCCTGCGGCCGTTGGCTCCTTCATCTCCTTAGTCAGTTCGCGGACCGCGTGCTGAATGTCTGGCCGGTCAAAGGAAAGGTAGAGGGCCTTCCCCACGCACGACCGAAACACCTTTGCCAAGCCATTGTCCAGGAACTGTTCCTCCTCTGCCGGCTTGACCGCTGCTTCTGGGGTCGGTGCTGGGTTTGCTTGCTCCAGCCCCAGGGCCTTCAACATGCTTTGCAGGTACTTGGGGTTCGGCTGCACGAACATGCCCTGGTGGCTGATGGTGCGAAGTCGCCGTAGATGCTCGTAGGTGTCGCCCACCCGGTGCACCTTGTACTTCATCACCATCTTGAGGGAAAGGGCCTCGAGGAATTCAAGCACCTCCTTCTCCGGCCCCGTTCCGTGGAAGTCGTCCATGTGAACTTCCATGCTTATATCTTTGGGCCCGTGGTGGAAGAACCATGGCGCCACTACCGACCTGTCGAAGCCTTCCCCGGCCGCCTGCTCGGCCGCCCAGTCAACGAACTTCTGCCCGGCCACACGCCGGCCGTACCATTCTTTCTTCAGCTTCCAGATCACCCTGACGCTCAGGCCTCGCTCTCGCCGCTTTTCCAGCCACTCTTCTGGCGGGTACATGTAGCACTCCTCGTCTATGGGCACTTGCCAAAAGGCGTTCTCCGCGTCCAAGGTGAAGAACACGTACCCCTTCTTGACCCCGATCGCGTCGATGATTCTGGAAGTCGCCTGCGAGGAAGCCACCGCAAACACATCCGTGCGATCGCTCTTGCTCTTCAGGTCCCGCAGACAGAACCGGCACTTCACTGTCCCATTGGGCTTCTCGGTGACGACCCAGGTGCTGTCGAGGATTTTCTTGCCCTTTGCCGCGTCGATGGGCCTGGGCTCATAGGTGTCGTACTTATCCATCTTTGCCAACTCGGCCATCTTGCCGGCAAGGACCTCCGGGATGCGGGTGCTGAAGTCGAGGATCTCCTTGTCGTCCTCATCGGCGTCGCCCTCGGCATCCCACCAGGCCTCTTCATACTCCTCGAAATTTTCCATCTCCTCCTGGGGCTTGTAGAGCATTGCCGCCACCGTGCCCCCAATCTTGAGACGCTTAGGCTCGGCCTCGGGCTGCCCCGGTGCCCTCTTTTTCTCCAGGCTGCGTTCCACATCCATGTCGCCCTCGGCTGCCGCACCTTGCCTTGAAGCGCTCGAGCCTGACCTTGTGGCAATGTCCCGGTCCTCGGCGTCGTGCTCGGCAATCTGGCTCCGAACTTCCTCCTCCATGGTGCGCCTCTTCTTGGGCTGCTCCTTGGCCGTCTCGCCCAAGATTGCTCTCGGCGTGCTTGGGGCCGCCGTGGTTGCCCCCTGCGTTGTTGGGATGTCCATGGCGGGCGTCTCTGGTGCGCTCGCCCCTTCCATGGCCATCGGCGGCTGTGCCTCTGCTCCTCCACGTGAGGCCGCCAGTCGCCTCGGTCCCTTCAGGGTGGTCTTCACGTCCCAAGGCAACCCCACGAACTTGCCGAAGAGCTCCTTGTTCACCCTCTCGGCCGGGGCTAGCCTCCGAACTGCCCGCCCTGAGTAGACCCCGTCCTCGGTGCCGAAAAGAAACTCGTTGGAAGCCACGCTCTTTCCCAAGAAGATTCCCTGCCTCCAAAGGCTGTCTCCCTTGAGTTGCCGCTTGCGTCCTTGCACGGCCCCGGTCTTGCTGATCGGCGTCCGGAACATAGCGGTCTCCCCGAACGGCAGGACCTCCCCGGCAAAGGCGGTGTCGAAGGCGTCCTGGTAGGCTGTGCGGCTGTTGCTTTTCAGCCCGAACCGGCTCCGAACAAAAGCCGCCCATCGCACCAGCCACGGCCAAGCATTGTGTGTAGTCAGCACCTTTGTCGCATAGCGGGCTTCCAGGTCGTAGCGCATGGTCAGCACATCCGTCTTGAGAGTTCTCTGGAAAGCGCCCACGCCCCCCATGCTTTGCGACGAGTACCTTGGTGCTGTCTCCGCTGTGGCCTTGACTCCCCGAACGCCCACCACCAGGTCCTTGCGGAAGGTGTCCAGGAGCCGCTTGGAGATGGCCTGCACCGCTGGCTCGCCGTCTGTCCTTATAACCACCTTGGTGTGCCCTAGGCTTGCCACGAACTCGGCCAGCCACCTGCTGACATAGTCGGGATCGTAGTTCTTGCTCGGCAGGCAGGCTGCCGTGGCCATCCCCGTGGCCTCGTCCCATGCACTAAGGATCACCTCGGTGGACTCATCCATCTCCGCCGTGGTGCCGTCGACCTTGATGAAGGAATAGTCCACCTCCACCCTCGGGTTCGTTGCCTTGAGCTCCAGGGGCACTAGCCGGTGCGCTGTGTCGATGGCCCGCCCCTTGATGCAATGCTCGCACCATGGCTCCGGAGGCAGATGGGTGAGCTCGTGTTGCGCCCTCTGCTCCGGCGTTGGCTCTTGCGGTCCTGGTGGGGCTGCTGCTGGCTCGGCCGCCCCTTCTCGCAACCTCCGCTGTCGTTCTTGGTGTTGGCGCTGGGTCTTCAGGTGCTCCTTCTCGGCCTTCTCTAGGCGGTTCCATAGCTCAGCCTTGGTGCCGTACCTTGGCTGACCTAGTTCTCTCAGCCTGGCCTTCAGCTTCTCCACCTTGTCAAACGGGGTGAGCTTGGACTTGCCCCGCCGCTCGAAGTTCACGTCGCCCCCGATCTGGATCACATCCTCCTCGGCCGCCTCGTCTCCATGTTCCTGGCCTGCTTGTTCCCACTCTTCTGGGTCGCCTCCACGCTCCACGGGGGCTGCGGTCCTGAGCCTTGCCATTGGGGAAGCCGGCTCGCTCACGGCCCCTCCCGGCAATGCCCTCACATTCTTCACCCAGAAGTAGGTCGAGTTGCCCCGCACCGTCAGCTCGAAGTGCAGGCCGCTAGGGTGCCAGACGTAGCCCCCAGTCCTGGTCAGCTGCGCGTGGAACCCTCTCTTCAGCAGCTTGCCGGCCGAAACCACTGGCTTCACACAGCTTCGGCTCACCTGGAAAGTTCCCTCCACCTTGGCCACGGTGCCCTCCACGGTGAGCACCTCAAACTGCAGCTTTCTTTGGCGGCCCTGGCTCAACAAACCTCCTGCCACCGTCCTCAGCGTAATCTCGCTGTCCTCGTCGAAGGCGTCTGTGCCCCAGTGGTATGGGCACACGTTTTCGTCTGACCCCGAGTCATAGAGGACAAGCTCCGGCTGGTCGTCCTGGGTGCTGTCGGGCTCCTCCAGGGACCCGGCGTCGATTGCCATGACCCACCGGACGTCGTCCTCCTCCTCGGCCTCGCTCCCGGCCTCTCCGCCGCTGATGTCGTAGTACACGGCTGCCGCGGTCCCCGACGGGCTGGTCGGGCTGCTTTCCACTGCCGCCGTCGTCTTGCCTCCTCCTTGGCCCTTCCCATTGCCCTTGTCCTTGGCCTGCTTTGCCCAGCAGTCTTTTCTTTTGTGCCCCCACTTGCCGCAGAAGCCGCACTCGCCCTGGAAGGTTGCCGCAGAGGATTTCCCGGCTTGCCCTGGCTTCCCACCTTTGTCGCCCTTCTTGCCCTTTGGCTTTCCTTTGCCGTCCTTTCCCTTGGCCTTGCCTTTGGGGTCGTAGCCAACAGCACCCACGTCCATCGGCGCCGGGCCTTTGTCACCGCCCGGGCCGGCTGGCTTGATCTCGCCAGCACTTCCATAGTTCACCCCACTCTGCAGCCAATCCCGAATAAACTTCTTCACCTTATCATAGTCGGTGCCCATATTCGTGGCATTGGTGCGCAGAGCGTTCCTGAGCGAGGCCGGGGCATACTTCATGAGGATGGCGATCTTGGTCGCCGAGGTCACCACGTCCGTCGCCTGGTCCTGGTAGCGCCTGATCAGCACCTCCCAGTTCTCAAGGTCTTCCAGGAACGTGGCCTCGGTGCTTTTCTCCCAAGCAGGGCTAATAATCCCCATCAGCATGCTCGTGTGCCTTCCGCCCAGGTCTGGCTGATAGGCCTCCACCAAGGCCTTCCATCCTTCAAAGCCGTTCTGCTTCTCGACGTTCATCAGGATGCTAAGGGCCTTGCCCTCCACGCTCTGAGCCAATATGTGGTAGAGCGTCTTCGCGTGCAACACACCGTTGCCTGAGAGCCTGGCCAGCCGCATGCTTCCCAAGGGCTGCGCTTCCACTGCGTCCAGTAGCGCATCAAAGTCCGGGCTTAGCAGGGTAAAATAGCTTCTAGCCACAAAGCTCCACGTGGCCCAGCTGTCCTCCTTCCCATCAAAGGACCTCAGCTTGCCGTAGGCCTTCGTATCGATGAGCCCTCCCGGCCCCACGTTCACAGCTCTCGCCCCTGCCGTCTCAGCAGTTGGACTGCCCTCGGCCATGGCTTGCTGGCAGCGCTCTGAGCCCTTTGGGCTCCGCTACCATGAAGCGGATCGACTCTCTTGTTTTGCTTGATCTTCGAAGGGCTGCCGCAGGTATGTCTTGACTGCACAACTGATCAAAAAACTGCATCAACTTTGCGTGATCACAAGACTGCTTCTGAATGATGGTGATGGTAATGGTAAGGACGGCATTTGCATCTGTGCTTGCGCCAACTTCACTAGTGAGCAACAAACGAAACTTGGCGAGATAAAAGTTGCTTGATGAGAATTCTCCGGTTGCACAAGCTTCCTCGGAGGGTTTAGGCTGCGGCTCGTCTTGCAAAAGCTTCAAGGACTAACCACTGCACAGGCGCACTGCACATCCCGCAAACATTAATTCCCAAAACAACATGTAAGGATGCAGCATTTACCCTGCTGAAGTGCAGAAGACAGGATAGTTCTTGGGGGTTTGAACGGCAAGTGGTGGTCCGCGACACTCCTCGACCCTGCACGGAATTTGTGGACTGAGCTGCGCCATCTACAGTTGGTGCTGCGTAGAATTGGCTAGCGCTCTGCGCGTCCAGCAGCTCTGCCATGTCCATCTTCATCAAACCTCCAGGTCTAGTTTGTGAGGTTGTGAGCCGTGATCGGACAAATCTTTGCTGACCAAAGACACATAATCCTCTGGCGCTTCAGACCCTCGTCTCCTGAAGACCTTCTCGGGAGTCCAGCAAGAGTCTTTCGTAAAGCACGGGGAGAATTCGGTACCGTTGCGCAGAGGGTCCCGAGCTTGAGCACTCAATTTCTCCTCAAGCTTTGTCTTCAATGGGCTGCTGTCGCTGATGGCTGCAATCACAGCACTATGCAGTATGCATAACTGTTATAGCTTATAACAGATAACATGTTCTTGTTGCTGTATCTACTATCAATACAGGTGCAGACAGCTATTGAAACTAATCCTGTGGTTGATACTGCTTTTTGGTAGACCCGGCGTCCTAAAGCTGCAGGGCTTCGAGCGTCTCTGCAGTTCGTTTAGTAGAAACTTGGGTGATGCCAAGATGCTGACAAAGGATCCGAGCAACACACCAGAGTCCCAAATCATTCTGAGCCGATCGATTTCCTAGAGTTGCCGACTGGTGTGCAATAAAGCCGTCGAGGATTGGATTCGCCAAGCAGCAACTGCAAGGCACACCGTCCTCCCAGCATGCAGCTTCACTGGCGCATTTGGTGGTGTTGAGGAAGGTCTCGTAGCTCCTCTATGTCAAGGTTATTTTTTCCCACTCGACTGTCTCATGCAGGGGCCTTGCAATGCACGACGATCCGCTTGATGATGCTGCACTGCCGCCTCTCGTGTCCTACACCAACCTAGGTCCAGCTGCTAGTCTCTTGTGTGCGTATCTTTCCTGAGATGCGACTTGCTTGGGGAAAGTGTCGGAAAACAATCCCTGACTGCAGCCCGCGTACCCTCATGTCCATACCACGGGGCTCCTCTCACAAGCACTGGCAGCTTGGGAGCCCCAATCTGCAAAGCCTCCACTTAACCTCGGCAGATGACGCATGGCTCGAAATGTGCAGCAGCCTCAGGGACTCACAGGGTAATTCTCGAGAGCCTCAAAGGCCTTTGAAACGTGTGCCGGATCATTAGCTCATCCAAGTGCTCAGTCCCGTACCTACCAACTGTTTTAATACCTGTCGTATTCTGACATTTTCAGGTCCAGGCTCCGCTTCGAAGCCTCCATACGTCTTTGACCCTGTGGACTCGCGTTGCAAGGATCACCGGCGAACTACTCAGAAACCTGCGAAAGGAGTGCATGCTAGCGGGAACGGGTTTGGCGGTGTCTACGAAGACTCAACTCCAATCCATGGAGCATGATGCCGCGGCTAAAGAGTCCTGACAGCTGGGCACAGCAATGTAGCAAGAGCGCAAGAAATTTTGGGCACGGCTCGTTCTTGCTGGCAGATCGAACTACCTACTGTACCTGTTAACCGTCGCTGCCACACACATGCCTGATGTACATCTTCCATCACCTAGCTACGTTTCACTTGACCTGGAGCTACCAAGAGGTGCAGGATGGGAAGCTTCGGACTGTAGAAGGCCCGTGTCAACACCACGGAACACGGCAACGACGATGCAATGTCATTGCCAGGGACGACAACGACAACGACACTGCCACCATCTGCCACTGAGTCGCTCTCTCTCTCTCGCTCTCTCTCTCTCTCTTTCTCTCTGTCTGTGCCGTGACTACTAATGCTGATAGTTCTGGGGCTATCAATTCATAAGTGCAAGAATAATCACCACCACCAACCACGACTGCTACTTCTACTGCTACTGCTACTGCTACTGGTACTGCTACTACTGCTACTGGTACTGCTACTACTACTACTGCTACTGCTACTGCTACTGCTACTGCTGCTACTACTACTACTGCTGCTGCTGCTGCTACTACTACTACTACTACTACTTCTACTACTACTACTGCTCCTACTCCTACTGCTACTGGCCACCCCGCTACCAAAGACCTGCCGGCTGAAACCATCATGCTCATCATCACAAGCACTACCACATGGATTTTTGAGGCAAGAAGCAGTGGCAGGACATTACGAAAGTACTGTAAATA